AACTTTGTTTGTTCGCTGACTTGGGGCGCTGTTTCTTAGCCGTCGGCGGTTCCTTGAACATCACTGGGGCGTTGGAACTGCCAGATGGAGCTGGAGCTGCTGCTGTTGATGCTGTTGATGCCGTTGATGCTGTTGATGCTGTTGATGCTGTGGCTGCTGTTGCAGCTGCAGGTGGCAAACCGTCGTAATTTGCGTTCATGTTGCCGCAAGTTGCCTGAGTTGCATTTTCCGAGGTGTTGTCCACTATAAATAAAATATTGACAATATTTTCAAATTAGTAATTTAGAGCATTGTAGAGTATTGAACATTTAAAAGTCGATTGGAACTAGCTTTGCAGACTGAAAACAAAAACATTTAATAGTTGATCCATTTATGTTTTCAAATGATCATTCAATTAAAAGCTATGATGACTCTAATAATCATATCAAAATTGGCGCTTTAAGTTAATTTAGAATTTTGTTTAGCCAATTTCCAGGCTACACATACTACAAACATCCTACATCATTCAATTGATTTTAAATTTGTTTATCTTACCGTCATTCAACTGCCAGAAGCTGAGGTGTTCGTCCGGATTGCCCGAGTGGGCCAGTATGTCCTTGACAATGACGCTGACTTTGTCTTCATCAGTCAGTGGGAGGGCTGCAGCTGCAGCTGAGTGGGTGGTGCTATGTGGTTGCAATGCTTTATCCGTTTGCATTTGATGATCCACCATGACGCCGGTAATTAGTTGAGTAGATGATCCTGAATCTGAGATGCCGGACAATTGGTATTGGGGCAGGCTGCTCTCGCTTCCCGTGCTGGATGTCAGTGTGCAGTTCGAGTCTTTCTTGATGAACACCGATGACTTGGGGTCCAACACATTCTCTTTAGTGTCTGGATGTATGATGGGTATGGCATGCCGGCGCTCCTTCACCTTGTCATTCCCAGCCAGCTGGGAGGCCGTTGTCAGCGAGGCCGGCGGAAAGCCTGCAGCCACACCAGCAACAGCAGCCACAGCAGTGGGAGCTGTGCCCTGCATATGTGGTGGATAAGTGTGCAGCCCGGTTGCGGGTGCCGTTGGAGCTGCGGTCATGCCTGCAGCCGCTAGCATCGGAGCTGTCGTCAAGTTGGTCTGTGGTACTATCGGTATATTATATGCCGGCGGAATATGAAACGCTGCTGTTCCGTTGAGGGGCGTGCTTCGCGGATTCAGAATGGGCGCAACAGCGGCCGCTGGAGCGTTGTTGACCAGTGTGGGACGCGGTTGAGGCGCTGCCGTGGGCACCGCATAGGTAAAATAGGGCTGCTGGGGCGGCGTCGAGCGTTGACCACCGCGAATATTCGCACGGTGTGCGCCGTTGCCCCCTCCACCGCCCACCACATTATTGTTGCTGTTGTTGTTATTAAGCGGCGCTGGCGGCAACGTCTGGGGATAGTAGGTTAGCGTCTGCTGTGGGCCTGCATTAGCGGCGGGCCCGGCGCTCACGACGTGCTGCTGYCCAGGCGGCAGCTGTTGTTTTTGTTGACCTGTTGCAGCATAGAAGGTGCCAGAGGGCGCTGCCGAGCCTCCATTTGGGGCATACGTTATAGGCTGTGCGCCAATCAGTCCGGGATGATTTAAGGGCAAGAATGTTGCCGAAATGTAGGTGGTGCCAGCCCCAGGCCCATTGGCGCCTGGGGGCGCGATCAGACCAGCTGATGGCGTAAAGGTTGGCGGCAGCGCCGGATTGCTGAGGGCACACACCAGGCTTGTATTGCTGCTGACTGGCGTAAGGACGCCATTCGCATGCGCGTGACCATGACCATGGTTGTGATGGTTATGGCCATGGGCATGCCCCAGCGAACTATTGCTGGCGGCGCCACTCAGTTGAAGAGCGGCGCCACCGCTGCTGCCATTACTGCTGCTGCTGGACGAGTGCTGCGGGTGGTTCACATACGACAATGCCGGTGGCTGTTGGTTTGAATAGAAGAAAATCGGCGGTTGGTGTATATGATGTTGCTGCTGCTGCTGCTGAAGATGTTGCTGCTGCTGTTGCTGCTGGTGCKGTTGATGCTGCTGTTGCTGCTGCTGCAGTTGTTGATGTTGCTGCTGCGGTAGAGGATGGTGGTGATGATGAAGATTACCTAGATTCGAGACGCCGCTCTGTTGCGGTACAAACACTGCGTGTGCCGCCTGCTGCTGCTGCTGCTCCTGTTGCTGATGTAGATGGGAAACGCGCGCCTGTTGCTGCTGTTGGGGCGGCTGTTGCTGCGACTGGTTTTGATGATGGTGGTGCGAATGTGAGTGGCCGTGTGACGTCTGGTGGTGCTGGGTCTGGTGGCTGTGGTTCTGCTGGTGTGTTGACTGTGGTCTGTTTCCCTTCCCACCCCCTCCCGTTGGCATGAACATAGGAGGACCTTCGTTGGATCTAAACAGAGGCATGCGTGACCAACACACACACACACACACAGATAGTGTGTTTGATTGTGTTGGCGTGTGCGTGTGTTACGCAGTCCAACAGATAGAGAGATAGAGAAAGAGAGGGAGAGAGGAGCACACGATCATGTGGGGACAACCACAAATATCGTTTGCGCCATGGAGCAGAACAAAATGTACAAAATTTAATTGTTAGTAAGATGAAAATGGGAAATAATGAAAAGCATTAAGATAAAAGCCATGGGTCATCAAATGTGGTGAATGATCGTGCGAAATTTAAGCAAACAAGCGCATGCAAATTATTGAGAATATAGAAAAAAACTTACAACTAAGAAACTCAAATAATAAACTCGAATAAGAAATAAATAATAATATAAAATGTAAATCTTATTGTAATGATTGGCGATGCATTGCCAGAAAATTTAAAAAGCATTTATAATAATTTAATAGTTATGTCTAATTTTGGTCCTCTGCCAATTACCGAGTGACTACTGTACCTATCGCTTTCACAGGTTAACCAAAGACCAAGAGACAATAAGATTAATCGAGTTCTTTCAATTCAATTGTTTTCAATTGCAGTGAAACCAATCAATTCTAATTTTGCCAACTGAATTGCAATTTAAAATAGCATCAAATGATTTTTATAAATATTGCAGAAATATGTACATGTATGCTATAAAGAAGAAAAATCAACAGAGAGCTAGCANTATTATTATTACTTTTTTTTTTGTTGAATTATAAACTTTTTGCATGTATAATTAACGAAATGCAAATGTTAACGCACATCGACATTTAAGTGGACGAAAAACGAGCACGCACATATATACGTTCAAAATATAGAAATAAGTACTGCTAAAATTTCACGGTAATTTTCTCTATAATTAAAAGAAAAAGATAAACGTTTGTTATAATTTTGCATGTACAATTTGGTCAATTCATGGAACTGTTAGGCAAAGCTTGCTATATTGTTTTCGAATGAATTTGTTTTTTCTGTCTCACACATACACACGTATATTCACACAAATCATATGTACATAGACAAGCACACACACAAAGAAATTTTCGTCGAGGCGTTGGTTTTTTTTTTCTTTTCTTTTTTTGCCGTTGATGCGTTTGCTTCTCGACTGTCGGGCGGTCGGTTAGTTGGCTGGTTGGTGGTACTTACTCGCCGCCCAAAGCTGCTACACACAGGCACACATCATAAAATGAACGAAAATGAAAAAATTGGGTTCCACGTGGGGAAAACGCCGAATAGGTTCCCGCGGAGTGTCTTTACATTAGTTCATGGTTTTGTCTGTCTTTTGTTTACAGTTTTGTTTAATCTGTATATCTTCCTATTACAAATAATTTTGTAAAATTTAAAAACACTACAGAAACACGTCCGCTCTTGGTCGCTGCACTAACAGAATGTTATCGATTATGTCGATTGTGAGTCGTATAACATATGTTTTTAGCATCATAAAGCTAACAGTCGCCGACCTGTTGTTAACAGAAAGCTTACTGTTAATCTGTCTTCAATCACTAACCATACAACACGGTTTGTGCTTTAATTAAATAATTAAACACATAAATGTATCAAATGTAAAAAGTATAAGATTCCAATTTTTTTCTTATATATTACTGCTTTAAGTTGGCTGTAAATTCATTAATTTATTTATTTGTAAATTATGATAGTTTATAACAGAAATTAGACTATCGATTCTTGATAAATAATTTAATTTTTTAAGCGTTTCAAAATTTTTAATTACAAATATATAAATAAATATACATATATTTGTGACATTGATGTAAAGTATAAATAATTTTCTTAACTAACTGGTTTAAACTTGAATGAATTATTGTAAATAATATTTCGATAGTATCGATACTTGTAATGAACGAATGATGAAACCTACTCGCTTTCAAATTGTCGTTAAGAGACTGCGCGATTGCTGACCAAGCAATCGAAAGCTGGTTGTTATAGCACTCCCACGTGCCATTTAGCTAGAATGTCAAGTTGATTTTATAAGATAAAAGTTTTTTACTTTTTTTATTGTTTTGTTTCTGGCAATTACTTTCAGCCTTCTCATTATTATTTGAATGATAGTTGTTCTTTATCAGACAAATTTGCTTCTACTTAAACAGTATATTGCCCTTTTATTTATGTGGATATGTACTAAATGCCGGTATATACAAACGTATACATATATGTATATATACTTATATATGTATACATATCTGCGTTAATTTTATATACTTGATATATGCGCATGTCCACTTTTGCTGCTTCCAACGCGTAGTAAGCACCCTGTATGGCCTTGATG